TCTGACGCGGCGTCACCGTGGTGTGGTGTCATATTTGCTGCTTCTGACGTGGTGTCACCGTGGTATGGTGTCATATTTGCTGCTTCTGACGTGGTGTCACCGTGGTATGGTGTCATATTTGCTGCTTCTAACGTAGTGTCACCGTGGTATGGTGTCATATTTGCTGCTTCTGACGTGGTGTCACTGTGGTATGATGTCATATTTGCTGCTTCTAACGCGGTGTCACTGTGGTATGGTGTCATATTTGCTGCTTCTGACACGGCGTCACCGTGGTATGATGTCATATTTGCTGCTTCTGACGCGGCGTCACTGTGGTATGATGTCATATTTGCTGCTTCTGATGTGGTGTCACTGTGGTATGATGTCATATTTGCTGCTTCTAACGCGGTGTCACTGTGGTATGGTGTCATATTTGCTGCTTCTGACGCGGTGTCACTGTGGTGTGGTGTCGCCAGGGCCTGAATGCCGCAGCCGTTCCAGCTCTCAGCACTGACTGAATATATTTAGCAAAATCAGGTTCTTAGGCTTTAGATGACATAACTTCCCACAACAGGAAATCGCTTCTCCAATTCACAAGTCAATCGCAGGACATGTTCTGGTTCTCATCCAGACGACTGCCTGCTGTTACCATAAATGATTTTTCTATTTATTCCCATGGCGGCCCGTTCCGTCGCACTTCATCAGCAGGTGTGGCCGGTTGGAGACTTTGTCTCTCTGCCTGACACTGTCCTGCAGGAGCCAGGCTGAGCCTAGCCAGCATCATAACATCCGAAATCACCTCCCACATTCAAAGCTGAGGCTGCTTTGTGTATCTTCCAGATCTGGATTTTGTCATGTCCGCAGGGTAATGTTTTGCAGCTCTGCTGAAAGCCTGGCAGCATAATTGATGAATTAGCCGCGTGCGTCTTTCACATAAAGATCTAAAAGTTAACTTTGTCAGATATTGAATTTTTTTATTGGAAATGGCAGACATTAAGTTTATTGGTTTGGGAATATTTTAAATTATGATTATGAAAACTCTAGAAAAAAACTCCTAATGAACTTTTAACTGCCTGTCTGCAGTTCATCATTCATTTTGCAACCTCTGTTGGTAGGACTCGGGAATCCATGGTCTGCTCTTGGTGTGAGTACGGTAACGCAGGACATCCTTAATGGGTCAGATGGTGAGAGACGGAGAGGGACAGGCCTTGCTATAAAAAGACATATCAGACGCATTCATAAATTTTTACCGTGCTGAACAACACTCTCAAAATAAAATGTCTTTCCAGGGGCTCCTGTCATTTTCAGCAAAGCTTTTCAAGTGTTAAATATTTAACATGGAAGTATAAGAAATACATCAAAATGACATAACAGAGAGAAGCAGGGAAAAACACGTTCTAAAGTCTGAGTCTCTATTAAAATGATATTTATATATGGCTGTGATGTCACACCTCTGGGCTTGTGGGTTCTGCTCCTGCCTTGGCTCTCTCTCGGCCTGCCTGTTCGGTCTGTGTGGGCTTCCTCCACCCGCTAACCAAAAGCATGCAGCTTAAGCGGAGTGACGTGTCTAAATGAGGGTGGTGTGTGGCTCAGCAGGTTAGGATGCTGTGCCTGTAATTGAAAGATCGTCGGTTTCGGTCCCACGGTTAGCAGAGTTACTTCAGCATTGGGCCCTTAATGCTTAGTGCTGCAGGGATTGGCTGACCCTGCTTACGTCGCTTTTGATAAAAGCATATGTACTTGTGTCCTGGGTTGGCATTCTATCCAGGAAGGAGCTGCCGTGGGATTGGCCAGGCGCTCATTGTGACCCCGTACTGGATACGCAGTTCTGCAGGGAATGATTCGTCCGTCTCGGTCTGGCCTGAATCAGTGAGAAGTCCACCGGGAGCCATTGGTGCTGCTGGGGATACTTCATGTCGTTTAGGGCTGCCCGGCAGTTTCCATGGTAGCTGGTCCAAACTTCACTTTACATTAATGCTCCATCGCCAAAACAGAAACCGAAGCCAAAACAGTGGCTTAGCTGTGTTGCAGATAAGCAACCTCAGGACTGGATGCTGGCGAGTCAGCAGGAGCCCCACTCTACACGCTGCCATCTGCTTTGCTTCAGTGGGGAAAGGCACACCACTGCCATTCAGCTGGCCGAAACAAAGATAAAGCAAGAGAATAAACGGGGGGGGGGGCTTTGTGATGCTTGGGTGCAGCTCGTGATTCTTGTGACTTGCCAGGACCCCTCTGAAATATGTCAGTAGGAATTAAAGCTTTAGAACCTCAATCTGAAATTAGGGAGGACAATGCCAGGTTGTACTTCTGTCTGAAATGCCCATCAGACTGGCAGTGCGTCAGGAAGAGGCTCACTTTGAGCCTTAATGTTTGTGTGAAAACATTTTTCTCCCCGTAGATGTTTGTCTGAAGCTGCGTTTATGCGTTCCGTGACTCATGTTCCATCCTGTAAAACTCTCTAATAACATTTCCTGGCTTCCAGCGTCTTTCTGTAATAATAATGAACGTCTTGAAAGAATTTCTGTATGAATGCTGTGGGTTGTGTGGGAATGTTTGATTTGGCCAGAACACTGCCTGTGTTGGATACCCTGTGGAAGGGAGGTGGGTGGGATTCCTTTTTTAATCGGCAATTTAATCAACTGATTCATAAATATGTTAACTATAACAGGATTTTTGGGCCAGAATCTGACTACCTCCGCAATCGCGTTTCACAGGAAACCTCTAACTGGCTTTAAATTTCCAGCCAATTACATACTAAAATATTACCACCTGTAATATAAAAATGTGTAGTCAATGAAGAAAAAACGGCTTGTTATTATTTTAAGGAGAAATATTGATCAGGTTAGCATGGACTGGACTCTAAAGGTCACTTACCTAAATTAGAATGTAGGTAGATATACTCTGTCAGCCTGTACAGTATGCTTAAATTAAAATACATGACCCGTTTTGGCTTCTAAGCAGAACTGTTGCATGCCCAGGGCCCAATTCAAGTGATGGCCAGCACCTGTGCTCTGTGAGACACCGTGGTCCTCCTTGGCAGGCACCGCTGTTCCCTGAATGGCCAGGACCTCAACAGGCAGTGGATGAAGCCTGAACTCAGCCTGAGTCCCACCATCTTTCATGCAAAGGGACTCCTGTACTATCTCAACAGCATCGGCAGGACCCCGCTGGTGAGTCCCCCCGCCCCCCGAGCCACGTCGAGCCCTTTTAAAAGGACACTTTGTTTCTACTCCATCAATGTCCAGCAGCTCCTTTCCTTAAAGGACAATCAGTCCCTGTTCAATATTTCATCCTCTGTACAGGAATAAATGGAGAAGGCTCTGTAAACTGAATGAGCTGTCCAGTTTCTGCCGTTCTCTGGCGTAGGCTGGCTCATTGGGGTCAGCATGGCAGATTTCGTGATGATTTTGGCAATTCAAAACAAAAATGATGTTTTCATCTGCTTACACTTGTCTGGAGAATTTATTACGTGGGTTTTACATTTGCCACACAAAGAACCATGACATAAGATTATTCTTTGTTATCCAAACATGTAGAAGTAAATATTGGCAGCAATGCCAGGCATTTGTAATGTGCTTTTTATTTATGTATTAGACATCCAGTGATCCTATTAGTTTATCAAACTGAAGGCTCAGCTCATAAAATGGATGTAAACATATATGCATGTATTTAGAGCACCTTAAAGGGACAGAGTGCCACATGTTCCTTGAACTATATAAGGGTTAACCATGGATCAGTGTACGAGACTCTTGGGGAAGAAAAAGCCTTTGAACAGAGAAATAATTCTGCCCTGTTGTGGACATGGAAGCCCATTAAACACTTCAGCTGTGAGCAAGGAGAGAATATCATGGGGTAATGCAACAAAAATCCTCATTGGTTGTTGGGTTTTCTCAAGTATCTGCAGGACTTATGAGTGCAGCAAGGGATGGCACTTTACTTTGAGATAGATAACAACTTTCATGAACAGATGCATGCACAACTGCTCCTTGCTCATTTCTCTTCGTACATGCCCTGGGTGCATTTAACGCATCTTACTCTTCCATATTAATCGGAATTTAGGTTGTTACATTAATTAAGTAGAGCTGTACATCTTTAGTTGATGTCCTCCTTTTATTTTCCCATGCCTTGACAATTTTAAGACAAGATTAGCGAACATGTTTTTACTCCAAGTTGTAACAATTTATTGAATTAATTTCCCAGGTACATTAAATAGTTCAACCATAATTTATTAGTGCTGTTAATTGGGTAAAAGACCCACACCGTTAAGCTCACAGGCTTGTGTAATCACTGAACTAGAAGTATAATTGCATAATAATTGTAATTCATTGAAAATAATTCATGGATTTAATTGCAGTAAATTGTAAATCTGCCATTCAGAGGCAGCAGTTATTCCTCTGTGCAGTTTGGGGTGGCTTCCTCCAAGGCTCGTCGGCTTCAGTAATCATTTATTTCCGGACTGTAAGATTAAGTAGTTGAGCTCGAAGCTGGTTCTGGTAAGTCAGAGAAGCTCAAAATTTAGCCCCTGGGACATGCTTTTAAGGGCTTTGGAATGACAGAGCAAATGTCTGCCTTCAGAAAGCCATCGGTCTTCCTGGAATAAGGCGGGATTTGACTCGTTCTCCACACTTTGCATGAACCCTCCTGGATTACGGGAGGATCACGGAGCATGCTCTGTGTTACATCTTCTGCCGCCCCCTCCCTGACAAATTGAAATATTGTGCTGTCACAAAAGGGAGAGCTAACTGTGGGCTCGGTGCTGATCCAAAAGGTTTTCTGTGATTACCACGGCCACTCGAGGAAGAAGAACGTTTTCCTCTACGGGTGCAGCGTGAAGGAAACCCTGTGGCAGTCTGGCTCTGCCATTGACACCGCCACCCTGAAGGAAGACCCCGGGTACCGGGTATGCCCCTCAATCTCTCCACTCACTCCTCTCTCAAGATGTTCCACATTTAGTGTGAAAACAAGACCTCTGCTCTTCCAAGAGTGACCATCTCAATGAGGCACTTCATCTCCCAGGTCTGTTACTAAAGGATTTCTCACACACATTAATTAGAATTAATTTAGAAATAATAACGATACGTTTCCTAAGTCACCACCCTTAACTGCAAAGGCCTAGTGAGTTACACTTCACCAAAGGTTGAAATGGACAGAGGTCCTGACAATGAACCATGACCGTTATTAAGCATCATGGAGGTGAAGGCCCTCTCTGTCTTCCACAGACAATCTCGAAGACCCTGGACCGTATTGCTCCCGCTTTCTCCTTAAACAGCTGCAACTACCTGGTGGAGCGGTCGCGGGAGTCCACGGCACGTGTGGTGGTGTGGCGAGAGATGGGCGTGCTCAGGAGTTACACCATGGAGAGTACCTACAACGGCTGTGACCAGGGCATCTACAAGGTGCGACAAGGTCCATCTGTCTCCGCGGCTAATCCTGCCGATTAGCTTCCTTCAACAGACATGAAATCTGCTGTATAATTCCGCACAGGCATTGCACTTAATTAACTCCTTTGACAGCCACTGAATTATGATGGTGGGGGGTGGGGCGTTCCTTCGGAGGAGGAGCTCCTGTTAACATGAAAGGCCTTTGTTCAGCTTAGTAGACAGAAACATATTTGGGGACATGAAATATATTTACGTGCATACATTCACTTAACTTTCTAACAGAACTCATGTCATAATGTGTAATTCAAAGTATTTCTCTTTAGTAATTATAAACAAACAAACAAAAAGCCCTCCAAAACAACAATTCAATTGGTTTATGGGTTTCTGAGAACAAAAACTTGAGGGAAAGGTTTGCGGGGCCTAGACTGGTGCGTGAAGTATGACGGGGTGAACTGCATGTGGAATGTGGATGTTTCAGTTGGAGATCCAAGGTCCGAGGACAGGCCAGTCCACGCTCCCGCGATTCATTATTCAGGTCTATAAAAAGCTTTCTGTGTGTTAGTCAAGACAGCCTCACTAAAAGCAATGGTAGGTCATTGGTGGGTTTCCCATTCTGCATGTTTAAGTTACGTTTGCCCATATTTCTTGAGAATAAACAGAACAAAAATTATCGGAAAGTATAAGATGTTTCACTAGGAAAAAGCTGGTGGCTGTCAACGGTTCAGCTTAATAGCGGGAACATGGAAGAGCACTCCGAGACAATATGTCCATCCATCCATCCATGTATCCATTCCATCATCCATCCATCCATCCATCCATCCAACCATCAATCAGTCTGCAGTAACCGCTTATCCATCTGGAGTCATGCTGATCCAGAATCTATACCAGGAAGTGCAGCGTAGTGTAACATGGTCTCCCACATGATCTTACACTAAGGCCAATTTGAAGTCTCTGTTTCACCAGAACAGCATCTCTTTGGGTCTAAAATTAATTTTCAGCCTCAAATTTCCAAGTAAAGCAAATAGCAAATAGAAAATAACTTCTTCAAAGACACGCGGTATAAAAATAATTGCCCCACAGTTGGTCTGAAAGCTGGTGCTTTTATCAGTCAGTCACATACTGTAGCCAATCATATGCAGCCACATGTGAACTAGACAGCCTGGGGGTGGGGCAAATCCTCACTGGAGAAGCCTACTGACAGAGCATTTCAGCACTGGTGGCTCTCATCAGACAGCCAGCATGCAATTCACTTAATAAAGATATTTGAGGCCGCTGACGCTAATTCAGCAGCATGGCCAACAAGTCACAAAGGCAGCCAGGGTATCAGTAGAGCCACATACAGTAAGGGAACATTCCACAATGTCAGTAGATAGGTGTATGTTCATGATGTAGATGATTTAGGCCAACATTAGGTCAAGTAACATCTCAGTGAAGAGATGGCTTTTTAAGATTCTTAATAAGATTAATATAACAAGTGAGTGAGTTTAGTTGCATGTTAATCAGTTTTGTTACATTCATCCGTCAATACAGCTGCTGGTCCTAGACAGGCCGCACAGAGCACCAGGTAGGCAGGCTGCCTGTCCATCACTAGGTACACACACACCCTCACACGATACATCCACCCATTTCCTCTAATCACTCCTCCTATTCAGGGTCATGGGGGGTTCGGAGCCTATGGGCCCAAGGCAGGGAACAATCCCGGATGGGGTGCCAACCCCTCACAGGGCACACTCACACACCATTCACTCGCACACCATTCACTCACACACCATTCACTCACACACCATTCACTCACACACCATTCACTC